GTGGAAGTGGTCAAATGCTTACATCCAGAAAAAGTAGATAAATACAAACAATTACCTCTTTCAAGAGGAACCTTCACCGAACGACAATACGAATTAGCTACAAATATAAAACAACAGTTCTGCACAAGATTATTAAAGAAGAAAATATATATTTCTCAATAGCATTGGATGAATCCACAGACAATGCCGATTCAGCACAGGTTCTATTTTTTATTCAAGCTATTACTGAGGATTTTATATGCTTTGAAGAGTTGCTTGCATTAGGAACACTTTCAGGCAGGACACGAGGAATAGACATCTTGGAGAACTTCAATGATGATTTAAGACTATGGAATTGTTGTAAATAATCCAGATATCTACTACCACATATTTCACCACGTGACTGTATTGTTATTTACTGCAAATAGAAAGCATCAAATAACATCGATCTGTACCGCTTAAGACTAATAAAGTATAGCAACTGTACAGATAGAAGGAATGGAGAATAACAGGAGAAAATTAAGGCTAAAATTAATCAGGCCTAAGTAAGAATAAGAAAGTAGGCCTATCGAGCCCAGTCCAATTTTTATGAGGTCATGGCCCTCCTGGATGATGTAACTTTCCCCCCTGTTTGCGTCAGAAAAGGGCAGTGACCTGCCTGGACCCAGGGAAGCTATAAAAGGAGGCCCCAAGCCTCAGTTAGTCAGTCTTTGTTTCAGTCCTTCAGTCCGCTTAGGCCGCTCCTATAGAGGTAATCCTTTCCTGCCAGAAACCTCCTCAACCCATTCCTTCTTGACGTTCAGACGCCTCTTCGTGGAATCTGTTTGTTTATTTCACCTTTGGCCCAACTGTGTCGCCTTCCACCACGACTGCACGGTAGAGGTGACATCGAGGTTCGTCTAGCATCAGGTAACACTGGTCCCAGTCCCAAGATATCACAGACTCCTAGGTCCGAAGAGTCAACAGGATTGTGGACGCTAAGGTACAAGTAAGCAAGTAGACCACTGTCTGTACAGAAAGATGGAACAGGAAAGAGAGGAGGATTCAAAGGAGCACATGGAGTCCGATCCCGACTATGAAAGTGGCGAAAACACCACTTTTCCCAAGATAGAAAACACCCTCGGTAGGACGCAGGAAGTCGCCCCCAGCCAGGAGGATGCCCCGCCCCCGCCGGTGGCATCAGATGTCCTGGGGAGCTTGACCAGGACGCTACATCAGCTGTCCGCGGCGACCGGACTATCGCGAGATGTGGAGCTACCGCGCTATGATGGTTCCTACGAGGCGCAGAGCTTCTTCGACAATTACGACGCCCAAGCTGATCGGGCCCAACTACAATACACCAAAAGACTGAGAAGGCTACCAAACCTCCTGCAAGGTAAAGGCCCTGCACTACTTCCGCAGCCTAAAATTAGATAAATTATACTACGTTTTTTTTTTTTGAGACTTGAATAGACAAATTCAAGTTTATTA